GGATCAGGTCTGGCCAGGTCGCTCTGTCGAGCTGTCCTCCCTTAGGCAGATCCACACTCCCACCCAACTTAGTGTCCTCTGCAAATTTTATAAGGATGTTGTCCAGATCGTCAATAAAGATGTTACAGAAGACCAGCAATGGAGGAGTGTGTGTGCTGGAGCTGTGTATAGATAAAGAACAGATCACTTAGCCTATGTATTGTATCTGATGGAACCCCACTGTGTTTGAAACAGATGTGTTCATTAAACTTTCCTTCCTTTGCAGATGGCCTGGATTTTTATTACTCTTCAAAGCAACAGGCCCAGAAAATGGTCGATTTTCTTCAGTCTACAGTTCCATCTAGGTATATATCATTTATTGCCTTGAGGACTCAAACAGCTTTTGGGAAATGTCTTTTATCCTTCATTTTTAAATCATTTTGTAAGTGAATGTGTAAGGAATCTGTACTAGTTAAAACAGACAAAATCCCTTTGACAAACCCTATGTTTACTACTTGGCCATTATAAAACTAACCCTCCTGCATTCTTCTGTTTCCTTACTATTTGTATTTGTGATACTTTGCATTTCCTTGCTGTACTTTGTGCTGATTATCTCCTGCAATGTCCTTGCTGCCTCAAGGTTCCACTCTTATCTTTCCCAGATCAAAGTCATCCCAACGTTTGATCTCCCATGACATTCACAGCAATGTCTACAACTACAAAAGCACTTTCTCTGTGGAAATTGTTCCCATATGCAAGGTAGATTCCCTCTGCTTCATCTCCAGGGCATTGTGTTAAGTGGGAAGAGTTTGGATGTGGTGATGGATGCCTGATTGATTGTGGTTTGGGGGGATGGAGGGAGCTCTGCCCCCCATGGAGCATGGCAAGTGCAGGTAGTGGCTGTCTGAGGAAGTTATTGGGTGATGTTGGATGGAGAACTGAAAAGATAAAGTTTGAAAGTCTATGTCAGAGTTCTCTAAAGAATTAGTTAAAAAATAAGGAACTAGGAGTGTAAATTCTGTTGTCTCTTTGCAGGACAATGTTGTGTGTCTGTCACCCAAACTGGCCCAGAGTCTGGGCAACATGAGCCAGATCTGTGTGTGCATCAGAGTGACAAGTACCATCCACCTCATCGACCCTAGAACTCTGCAGAGTAAGTTTTGGGTTCTTTTCTGTGTCGATATCTGACTTTCCTGCTGGCACAATTATTTCTAGGGGTTTTTGTTACCATAAAATCTTGGACCTTAATGTCATAGATGTATCTGTACAGGAGAAATTTAATAGCCAACTAAGACATAGTTTTCCAAGCTTGATTTCCATAGGATCCCTGGCAAAATGTGCAAGCTCACGGTTAAGTTCATGGATGTTCTCTGTCTCTGCTAAGCATTTATATTTGTCAGGTATATTCCTCTATAATTAGATAGCATCTAGTTCTAATCTGGATGAAGTTTTTCACCACTTCAGTATCACACGTTCTGTGCTTTGATTGGTGTGTGCTGGTGAGCTCAACTAGCATAATCCTCTAAGGATGGATCCAGGAGAATAATTCCTGTGAATAAAGAAGTCTGTGTTTCAGCCACATGATTTTTTTTTTTTCCCTATGAGGGTGTCCAGGCACAGGAATATTGCCCAGGAAGGTGTTAGAGTCACCATCCCTGGAGGTGTGTAAGAGATGTCTGGACCTGGTGCTGGAGGGTATGGTTTAGGGTTTAGGGCTTACAGCAGTGACAGGTTAAAGTTTGGACTTGGTGATCTTAGAGGTCTCCTCCAGCCTTGATGATTCTGTGATTTGGCTGTCAGATGAGCAGCTCTTGCAGCACAACTTGGCAACATGCATCATGTCCTAAATACTTGTCTTACAGTAATGGACAAAATGTGTTTGGCAGCTGCATCAATTTTGGCTCATGGTTTCTTTTCCTTTTAATTCTTAACAAGAACTTCTGTTCCTTATCGTTGTCCGTGCTGGTGGGTTTTTTTCCAGTTGCTGAAATCGATGGAAACACGTACTGGCGCCATCCTTTCAACAGCTTGTTTGACCCCAAGCAGCTAGAGGAATTCATCATCATGGACATCAACAGGGTCCAGGAGAGGAAAAAAGGTGCTGGGGCAGGAGCACGATCAAACAAGGTCAGAGTTCTCTCTTTGATTCATGTGTTGGGCCTTCTGCTCCCCTTCTGGAGCTGAACTTGTGTTCTGACTCATTCTGCCTGTGCTGTTCTGTGTTGGCACTGGAAGAACCTCTTCCTGGGACAGTGTGGGCAGTTTTGGTTTGGAAATGGCACAAGTGATAGGTGAATTCCACTTCCAGAAAGTCTTTTCTGTTGAGGAGTTTAAGCTCATTATTGTTGTTATTGAAATTATTTTATATTAGCTTTGCAAGTCGTTACTTGAATAAAACCATGTTAATAATTATAGAATATTTCTTTTAAATCAAGATTACTGACTCAGTTCCAAACATTTTCTTCTCAGTCAAAAGCTGTATGTGGGTGGAAGTTATAAGGTCAAAAGAAGCTACCAAAACATGTGTCTAGGTGTAGAAACAGCCTCTGGGGAATTCCTGTGTGGAGAAATTGGCTCATCCCTTGCCTTTTGTGAGCATGACAAATGAGGATCCATTGGCTGTTGGATGTAGAAACACAAGTTTAATGACACCTGTGGTTTAAAGCAGTGATGGAGCAGTGCAGATGTTGTAGCTGAGCTGTGTTTGCTTACAGCAGTGTTTTCTTTCTCCCCCCTCAGCACACCCTGGCTGAGGCCTGGGTCCGGAAAACCTCAGAGCTGGACACAGATCACCAGTACTTCTGCTGCACACACCTGGGGCACATCCTGAATCCTGGGGACCTTGTCTTGGGGTCAGTTCTCTTCCTTGGCTTTTGTTCAATGATTATTTACTGATTGAACTTGTTGGATTCTCCACAGGCTTATGTGTTATCAGGAAAGTTTTGAACTGTTCTGATTTCTAAAGGAAATCAGCAAAAGGGATGGAGTAGTCTTGGCCCTAAAGGTCCTAATACAGGGAATCTCTCTTCTAGCAAAAATCATCTTGTGTTAGTAACGAGAGCTGAAGTATTGCCTTTAGAGTGCAGGTTTGGATAACAGTTTAGACACAAACAGATGCGAGGGATTTTTAAAATATAACCAAGATCATAGAGCCATCAAGGTTGGAGAAGACCTCTAAAAACATGTAGTCCAGCCATTAACCTGTCACTGCTGGAAGCCCTAAACCATATCCTCCAGTGACAGATTCAGATACCCCTTAAACACATCCAGGGATGGTGACTACAACTTCCATGGGCAATATTCCAGGGCCTGAACATCCTCACAGGGAAAACATTTCTCCAAACATCTCATGTGAATCTCCGCTGTCTCAGCACTAGGCCATTCTCTCTAGTCCTCTCTCTGTAGCCATGGCAGGAAAGAACATCCCCCACCTCTCTCCACCCCTCTCAGGGAGTTGCAGAGAGCCAGGAGGTCAGCCCTGAGCCTCTTCTCCAGGCTAACCAAGCCCAACTCCCTCAGCCCTTCCCCATGTGCTCTAGCCCTTTGCTGCCCTCCTTGCCCTTGGCTGGACTCACTCCAGTGCCTCAATGGCCTTTTTGCAGTGAGGGACCCAAAGCTGAACACAGCACTGAGCTGTGACCTCCCCAGTGCCCAGTCCAGGGGGATGATCACTGCCCTAGTCCTGCTGCCACACTGTGCTTGAGCCAGGCCAAGATGCCCTTGGCCTTCTTGGCCCCCTGTGCACACTGTTGGCTCCCACTGAGCTGCTGCCACCAGCACTGCCAAGTCCCTTTGTGACCAACACCTCTCTCCCCACTCCTCCCCCAGCCTGGAGCTGCATGGGGTTGTTGTGTCCCAAGGGCAGGACCAGCACTGAGCCTTAGTGACCCTCCTGCAAAGAAGATCTCTTTGTTTGCTAGTGAGTGTCACGCACAGCAATGAGAAATGTGACATTTAGGAAAGGTTAGGACAATTAGGTGATCCTCAGCCAGGCTGAGGATCAACTGGAGCTGTTGTGAGCCCAGCAGAACCTCAGTGGATACTGCAGGTTGGATTCAGGAAGTTGGCATGTGCCACTGAAAAGACTTGGGGAACAGCAACATCTCATGGTTGTTCTAGTTGTAATAGTTGCATATTGATGTGGATTTTTGTCTGCTCTGAGTTCATCTGCAAACATTTATCTTTATTAAGAGCTTTAACTTGTACTTGTGCTGTTCTGTAACACAAATATATGATATGTTAAGTTCAGTTTTGGAGACTCATGTGAAAGGGAATAAACACCTGTTTTTGTTCTAGGTTTGACCTGGCAAACTGCAACTTAAATGATGAGTTTGCCAACAAGATGAACCCACACAACATTCCTGATGTGGTAAGACAATCCCTTTCTCTGCACAGACTTCTCTGCCTTCCCCAGGGCGAGGAGGGAATAGGATTTTATAATAATTACTCCCTAGTGCCTAAAGGAAGAGAAGATATTAATAATGAAATCTGAACAGCATCTGATTGAAGAATCATTTTCTCACTACTTAAGTGTTTGAGTGGTGGTTAAATAATGCATTTATTTTACCTTACTCTTTGTTGGGTTTGTTCCAATTACATTTGGGTGGTGAAAACTATATTATAACTCCCATGTGTGTCTGTCTTCAGGACATTGAATCCAAAGTGTTGGGAAACAAATGCTCTATAAATACAATATAACACTGCTGAGTGCCCATTCAGTTGATTTCAGTCATAGAATCAGAACTTTAGAGGGTGGAATGAACCTTAGAGATCATCTGGTCCCAACCCCCTGCTCTGGGCAGGGACACCTCCCACCAGAACAGGTTGCTCAAGAGTTTATCCAACCTGATGTTGAACCCTGCCAGGGTGGGGGCAGCCACAGCCTCCCTGGGCAACCTGTGCCAGTGTCTCACCACCCTCCAAGTTCAAAATTGTGTGCTGGTTTGGATTCTGAGGGTGGCAGAACAGCTCTGGAGTTGTGTGTGTGTGTGTAAGGATGTGCTGGTTGTTACTGCAGGTGTTGATCAAGAAGAGCTATGACCGCAGCAGACGCCAGCGGCGCAGGAACTGGAAGCTGAAGGAGCTGGAAAGGGACAGAGAAGGCACAGATACAGATGATGAAAGGTTCAGTATCTGCTAGGCTTGGCACTGGTTTGTTCAGAGGCAAAGCTGATCCAGCAACAGCTTCTAAATAACACTCAACTGAGCAGAAAAATTGAGACAATAAGAATGAAGTGAGGAGAGGCAAATTCAATTAGCTGGGAACTAATTGATGATTAAAAAAGGGCAGAAAGAATGAGTTGGGAATGCTAACACAAGGCAGGGCTGAAAAACTATGGGTTGTAGTCCTGCCTTGAGGCTTTGTTTCTTTAATTTGTTGTATAAATGTGCATCAATCCAAAGGGAAAGTGAGTAAATCCATTGCACATTTTACAGGCAATACCAGGACTTCCTTGAAGATCTGGAGGAGGATGAAGCCATCAGGAAGAATGTCAACATTTACAGAAGTAAGGCCTTTTCACCATTGAATTGGATATGACTAAATCCTGATTGGTTGAGGGAAAATATCTTCACTTGAAGTTGTTTATTTGTGTTCTCCAAACTCCTCCAGCCTGCAGGA